TTATTCTTTTTACAACATTTCACATAATTTCTTTCTTCTTTGCATACAAAAATCTTATGTGGAGATAAGCGTGAGATGTGTGCACACACTGTGAGTAAAGGGATTTCTCGGACGATTGGTATCGGTATGTGAAGGTGACTGCATGTATACGTGTGTAGATACATATATATGTATATATAGATATATCCATATATGGGTCGCTTGCTCTGCGACTGAAGGGGCCTTTTTTCCGGGTGGAGGTCCAATTAACTGCTGAAGAGCACCCATGCGGAGTGCAGAGAAACCGCGACGGAAGCCCACTGCCAGGGTGGCAGCGAAGCAACGTACAGGCGTACAAGCGTACTAGCGTACAAGCGTATTAGCGCACAAACGTACTAGCGTACAAACGTACAAATGTACTAGAGTACCATCGCACCACCTACACAAGCGACATCATCCCACGCCTATTTGGCCTTCTGCAGCACGACAAGCGCCTCGTCAATTTTCTTCTTCAGCTGCTCCTCATTTTCCAGCAGGATTAGCAGCTCGGAGTTGTCCATCTCCAACATCATTCCCGTAATTTTTCCAGCTAGCGTCGGGTGGTAGTTTGCAACGAGGGGGAATAAATTTTCTCCCAAAACTTGTTTCTGCATGGAGGGAGGCGCAGACGCCAGCGCAGCAGCGGTTAAAGTGGAGTTATTATTAAAGTTCACGTTCATATTATTAATTGGGTTAACTTTATTTGCATTTTTGTTTGGCATCTCCATACGGTTTCTTGCTTGTGATGTGAATTTAAAGTTTCCATTTGGAGGTACCTGTTGTTGCATTTGTTGAGGCGTCTTCTGTTGTGTCTGCTGTTGCGTCTGTTGTTGCGGTTGCTGCGGCGTCTGTTGTTGCTGTGGTGGAGGTGGTCCCTGGTGATTCATCTGATTGGACTGGGAACTGTTCTGTTTTCCTACCATGTTGATGGGTAGCTGTTTCTGATTCGGTATGTTCCCCATATTCGCTCCTCCCACATTTGCTCCTGCCATATTTCTGCTCGCTCTGCCGTTCATATTCCTCATATTATTGTTCAGCATTTGGCTGCCTCCAGGCTGCTGTTGCATAGGCTGATTATTGTGCTGTCCTGGTGCATTTAAATTCGGTTGCTGTGGAGTTGCTTGTCCTAATGCATTCGGATATTGGTGTCCGGGATGGAGTTGCGAGTTTACCTTATTCTGATTCATACTATTATTCATCATATTGCCTGCTCCTTGTGCGTAGAATCTCATTTGGTTCATTTGTCCTCTCAAATTTGCATTGAAATTTAGCTGCTGCTGAGCTGCCTGCTGGTGAACCACTTGTTGTTGTGCCGCTTGTTGATGTCTCCAAGAAATGAGATTATTCTGATTAAATGGAGTCAAAACTGGTCTGCCATAATTTAATGTGTTCTGATTAAATTGCAACTGAGGGGATTGTGGATTTGGATACTGCATGGGTGAATTTAATGCATTATTCATGTGGTGCCTTATGGGGTGCATGCGGAATCGTTGTTGTAGTCGAGACAATCTTTGTTCTCTTTTCTCAGCCAGACCAACGTATAGGGGCTTTCCATTAATAATCTTCAGGTGCATTTCTGTCACTGCTTTATTTGCTTCTTCTTGTTGGGCGAAGCATACAAAACCGAACCCTTTGCTTTGTTCCTTATCGTCTCTCATGACCTTTGCTGATGTGATTGTGCCGTACGGTTCAAACAGCTCTTTCAACGTCTGATCGTCAATCGCATCGTCCAAATTTTTTATATACAGATTTACACCCTGGTGTTTGTTTTTATTCTCCATGTTGAGGTTGTCGAATTTGGCTTTCAGAATGGCATGTCTTCTGGCCCTCGACTGATGAGGGCCCACATATAGAATGTTAGGGCTGTCTGCGTTCTCTGGACCACTTTCCTTTTTATTACTTCCAGTTGGGCTTCCCCCTTGAGCGGCCGCATTTGCTCCATTTGCTGCATTGGCTGCACTACCACTTGCTGTGTCATCCTTCCCGTTGGCAGCTGCGTCTGTCGAAGTGGCCCCTGATTCTGCATTAGCCTTATCATCCGATACGCCACTGCTACCTTCCTTTCCCTTGGCCGATTCGGAGGCTTCCGCGGTGGTTGTGGCTGCCCCTTGGGTTTCTTCTCCACTTTTTCCAGTATCACCAGCAGGGGCATCTTTGTTTTCGCCTTTCGCATCGGCTGTTTCTCCTTTAGCGCCTTCACCTCCGCTGGGGGTGGCCTCAGCACTTCCGCTTCCAGCAGCTCCGCCGCTTGCCCCGTTGCTTGTACTTCCCCTTCCACTGACCCCCTCTCCTTCTTCCTTCTTTGCATCGTAAGTAGGATCAATCTGCCCATCATCCGTAATCTTCTTGCCATTCAGATTTTCCATAGCATTCTTTGCACTCTCCGAATCGGCATAATTGATAAAACAAAACTTCCTATTCTTATTATCCGTCTTCACGATCATAGATGTGATTTCTCCATACGGACTAAACAGCTGCTTCAGGTGTGTCTCAGTAACACTATCTGGGAAATTTTTCACATACAGGTTTGTAAACTTGGTATCGTTTGTAGCTCTCTCGGATTTTTTTATAAAATGACCAACATACACGTTCTTCGATCCTAACTGAATACCATTAACCTTTTCGATTGCTTCCTTTGCACTCTCCTCATCTTCATAATGAACAAACCCATAGCTCTTACTCTTTCCGAACTCATCCGTGGCAACCTTACATGAGAGGATATTTCCAAACATACTGAAGGTATCAAATAGGGCCTTATTATCTATAGATTTGTCTAGATTCTTCACGAAGATATTCCCTGCACCACTTTTTCGTAAGGATGGATCTCTATGACTCCACATGAGTCTTGCTGGATGTCCTTTTATGTTTGTATAGTTTAACGTGTCCAATGCTCTTTCCGCGTCAGCTAAGTTGTGGTAATTCACATATGCGTAACCCAACGATTTCCTTGTCACGCTGTCTCGACATACTCTTATGGATGACACATGTCCAACGGTGTTGAAAATTTCGTACAGGACTGCCTCTGTCACATCCTCGTTTAGATCCCCCACATAGAGTGAGGCGGTGGAAAAGCTCGGGTGCATGATGTTCGTTCCAGTGGCCAGCATCTTCTCAACTTTGGGGGAGGGAAGTTCCGTGGGGATTTCAAAGAGGGGGACAACGTCTACGCAGCGGTGAGTAGCTATAAGTAAAGGCAAGTAGCTATACGGAGCGGTAAGCAGCTATACGTAAGAGTAACTAGCTATAGGGACCTCTTAACACAGCTTTTTCTATCCCGCTTGGCAACCTCGGGAGACGCAAAAAAAAAAAAAAATAAAATAAGAAATAAAAAAACAATAAATTAAAATGTACCTCGCACGAACCAACGTGACACCAAAACGCAACGGGAATTCTTAATTAGGGTTATAAAAAAAGGAACTCATAAAATGGAGGGTTCATATACAGATGAATGCTCACAGCGGGGTCGAGAAAAAAAGTGACACGTGGACTGGCAAGGAATAAGCACACATATATAGCAGTCGTTTAATTATCCTTCCAAAAAAAACGTGCACTGCGGGCGAAGTGCACAAAAGGAGTAGAGGGGTTCGATTCTTAACTGCCAAACGGGGGAGGGATGGATTCTATCCCAACGTGCTCCGTTTCTAAACAACAGATGGGGGTTGAACGCGTTGATACAACAACAAGATGGAAGGAATCATTAAGTGGGCGCTGCGGAGGGTGGTGAAAATTTCCCCTTGCGGATATGAAGCAGGACGGTGGCGTGAGGAGACACAACAGGGTGCGCTACAAAAAGCTCAGCAACGGGCGCAACAAAATGTCACAGGTGCGATAAGAAGACGCTGAAGAGGGGAGAGGCGTTCACATGCATGCGCTTATGTAGAGACCGCTTATGTATGTATATATACACTTCCTGAGTCATCACTCCGGTTCGCTTTTCTTTTTGGTTCCCTCCTCGATAAGAAGATGGTTCACCGATCCAGCCGTCACGCTGAGAAGTCAAGAGTTCGCAAGGGGCATGGGCTGCTGACAGTGGGCGGTCGTGCATGCGCAGGAGTCTATAGATGTATGTACGTATGTATATATGCACGTATGTCTGTACGTATGTATATATGTACATATCGGTTGATACATGTGTGTACACGGAGGGGTAAACTACGTATGCGTGTACGCGCCTGCAGGGGCATCACTGGTCTGTGGGTTCGCCCCCTCGCTGTGGCAAGTACCACTAAGGTTTACGCTGGCGTCGGCTCCACTCTAATAAAAATGTCTATACAACGTATGCCAATTTGTAATTGGAGAAAAACGCAACGGGGGGGGTTAAAATTACCAGGGGGTGAGAATATACAAAAATATACTACCTCTGTATATGTGCTAATCTATTTTTATCCTTCCCTCTCGCCTCAGCGTCGACACAGTCGCGCGTGCTCAAGCGTATGCAAATTGTGTATGCATGTAGTGTACCTATGTATTGCCTGCGCAGGTACTAAACCCCGTACACGTATGCGTCGCTTTGCCGATTGAAATGTACGCTGGCATACCTCCGCGCGCGCCGCTGCTAGATACTCCTTTTCGCAACTCGACCTCGCGCAGGCGGGGAGATATGTACGGATCGGTAGTTGGCGGGTGGGTTTGCGGGCTGTACACGTAGGCCGGTGACGTGGTCGCAAGTACAAAGCGCCTTCGTATCTACACTATGTATGCACGTGGATATGCATGAATATGCAAATAT